GTAAAGCAACACCTTGTTGGTGTACTACGTGTCGTGGATATACGCTTAAATGGTTCCCTGTCTAAGCAAATAGCCTTTTCTAAAGTACGGAAATTTGGCGACTAATTTAGACAACCTGATACAAGCATCAGACTTTAAATGTCTTCTGAGCGTATTGGTTATACCATCTATATGAACAGACTGTTTCTTTGAAAGCTACGCTTATTCACATCATATTCTACAGACCGCTTTAATCACCAACATCTGGGGCTTAAAAATAGGACAAAAAACGCATGCGTCTCGTTGTCCTGGTGGTCGATACCATTGCCCTCCTCCGTTCAGCAGGTAGTTCAACCACAGGTTATGAAGGTTGTTACTGACTGAGAATCTCCAGCACCATATGTGTCCTGGAGAATGGCTCCAATTGAAGCTCAAACTGGTCGCCTCCGTCATGGATAGCTACAGTTTCGAACTTACTTCATTTGCCTTTGATCTTGTCTGATACATAGCGCACTACATTTCTAAAATGGGGCCTACCGACACTATTATCATAGTTTACCTTCTTTTTACACATATAACAACTTACATAACCGAAGTTGTCAGCCAGCTCGTGCTGAATGACCCAGTTTAGTTGCACAGAGTTGGTAACAAACACCGCATTAAAAGTCACTGGAGGTGACATCAAATAAATCGCTATCTTGACTATTTACGCATTGATTCGTGCTTTTCGAGATAGGTTATAGGCTCTCAAATAACAGGCTTGAGAACCGGGTGTACTGGTGAACGGAGTTATATATGAAGGGGAACTTCACTGTACGGTCGATGATGGCTTTTTGGAGGCCCGACAAAACAATTAATCCTAATCGACGCACTCCCGCCATACATACGTCTAAGCGATTCTTCAGCAGCGTATTGCGGTACAAGAAATAACAGCCAGGTCTCAACATTGCAATTATTTTAATGGCAGTGGCACAGAGACCATAGTTCTTACACTGTAGTCTGTTCCCTTTCATTAGGATTAAAAGGGGGCAGTATCACCCATTCGCGGTTACAATGTCCGTTTCTAATGCTTGGTCTAGAGGCCTTATGCTCACTGGAAAACATCATTTCTTTATTTCTGTTGAAAGGCAAGCTTTTTCAGGTATTTAATTTTTATTTAATTTCGCTGTCGCCTCATGCTTCTCCTCGATGGAATGTGAGCTATAGTGACAGTCACGGTCATGCAACTAGTTGTCTTCCAATGCTACTTCAGTTAAGGGGCCAGAACCTACCGGTTTCGGCCAGACAAAGTCCTTTCTGCCTACATCTCATGTCTGCCAGTGACCCAATCTAGGCGCCTTTACTGTGTCTGACCTTCCAGACAGGGTGATCTTCAAGAGGGTAAATGACACGAATATCAGGAGTTACTGTGCATTAAGTCGTTGCACCCAGTGCTTGTTTTCACCCTGCAACTGTGGGATCTCTCGTGCACTTAATACCTGACCTAGCGTTCGCTATGATTACATCCTGCCGTACATCCGCTTTAAGCAGGTACTTGTCAGTTTCTTTGGAAGAAGCATAGATGGCATTTAAGTTGTGCGAAGGCCCTAGCTGACTGATCAAAACTACGCTAACGATATTGCCCTTTCGGTGTGAGGTTCCTCTTACCTACCAAGTATTTCGTGTCCGATAAATGACTCCTGTTTTTAGCAGATGTGGCGGAAACCAGAGTATTGTCGAGCTGAGTGGGTGCCATCCTCATCGACGCGGTGGTCTCGTGATTCTTTATATGGTCTCTGTCCTAAGAATGCAGAACAGTTGCTCTTGAGGTGCTTACAATTTGGTCTTGTTGCTTTAACCTCTACTTAAGGTACCAAAACTTCCCTCTATTTTTGCCACTTTTCTTTACCCCTTTTGCGCATTCAGCTGGCTATAGATGTTTGCCGGGATGATAGCGCAATTATCAAACTCTATCGAGTCGAATTATCGGACAGAAACCAGCGTGCACTATGTCTTTATGAAGCCTCAATAGCTAGTCAAATACCCGTTCCCTTCAACACAGATCAAATCAAATCGTCCACTTGATCGGAATATTACATTTACAACACTTGAATTTCGAACTTGCCAGGGTGGTCGACTCCATCATGATCCCTAATTTGGGGTTGGAAAATGCATGAGTTACTGTCTTTACTGCGCCTGCTATCAGGGGCTGTCTGGTTTGCTCCGCCGTCGTCCACGATACCAGTATTATGAACGTAGACTTGGAATTTAGTAGTTAGCGCATCTGATATTTAGGAGTGTGTGACCTAAGAACTGGTTGAAACCACAGGCCTTTCAGAATTGGAACTAAAAATTAACTCCCGGAAATGATTATTTCAGTTTTTTCCCTTGCTCTTAATAACAAGACTTAGAATACTTGTGTTTTTCTTATTTAGCGTTTTTTTTTGGCATTATGCGTTCCATGACCTGCCCTCTGAATATCGCTGGGAAACTTCGGCACCGACTCCTCCGTCTTCAGGCTCATCAGGCTTCTTCTTTTGTTGAAAACAAATTTGACTTCTTTTCTGTTACTACCCCGGCGCCACGAGTACTGCATTGTCAGCTTAATCGACCGGCGAAATTGAATGCAATGACTTTGGAGTCGTGGAGGCAAGTGTGCGTTCTTTTGCCAACTTTGTCTTTCAAGCGAACTGCGATCGATTTTCGAAAAATTACATGAAGACACGACCTATCGGTGCGCCGTTATTTCAGGCTCCGGCAGATCCTTCTCTGCGGGTACGTACAGACAAGTCTGAACCCTCTTTATTTATCGTTTAGGCATAGATCTAATGTCATTCAAGTCCGTTCTTGACCAAGCGGAAGGTGAGGATCCAGGCCGTATTGCTATTAAAACTCGGAAGGTCTTGAGGAACATTCAACAGACATTTTTATCGATTCATAAGGTACTTTAAAGCTTGGTTGGATGACCTCACTTAATGTCGCTCTTAGTGCCATAAACCAGTGATCTCCGCCATCCATGGCGCCTGTGTTGGCGGGGCTGTTGATCTTGTCTCTGCAACAGACATTCGCTTCTGTTCCTCGGATGCTTGGTTCCAAGTAAAGGTGAGATCGTATGCGACTTTGCTTCCAGTTCGTGCTACCGTTCAAAGTGACGAACTGATTTTTTGGCCGTTTGCCACTGCCCCTACAGCTGTGTTTACCGCTTAAGCCTG